AGAGCAATTTCTCCCATAATTCCCTGCTGTGTGTGTTGTGTCTGTAAGGTGTGACCGTCGTAATGATTGTGGAGACAGCAGTGATGAGCAGGGCTGCACCTATCAGCCGTGCCAACAGCATCAGTTCACCTGTCAGAACGGCCGCTGCGTCTCGCGCGATTTCGTCTGTGACGGGGACAACGACTGCGGGGATGAATCTGATGAGCTGGATCACCTGTGCAGGACTCCAGCGCCCACCTGCCCTCCCGGAAACTTCCGGTGTGACAACGGAAACTGCATACCTCTCAGCGAGGTGTGTGACAGGAATGACGACTGCAACGACAACAGTGATGAGAAAGGCTGTGGTAAGCACTGCGTCATGTGACCACTGATTAGATTTTATTATTTTTTTTGTCTGAGTGATAAATCAGGGTTATTATAGATAACTAAAACTAAAACCATTAAAAAAAAAAAGAAATATAAAATTAAATAAAAAGAATTAAATAAAAAAATTTAAATGAAATAAACTGACTATAAATTAAATATAAAATAAAATTAAAAAAGCAAAAAAATTTTCCCAGTTTTCATTTAGTTTAACTTGATGTACTAAAATAACTGAAATATTAATATAGTATAAAACAAAATACATATTTTTAAACAAAAAAATAACAAAAACAACACAAAAAATACAACAAAATGATAACTATAAACTGTAACTAAAATGAAAATGAAAACAGAATATATAAAAATAAAAAAAATAAAAGCTATAACAGTATCTCAATGATACTAAAATATCACATAAATTGTATTATACATTTAAATATATTATATAACATTAAATATATTATTAACAGCTTTGCAAAATGCATAATTGTCCTGAATGTAAGATGCACAGAAATTCTAAATCATTGTCTGTTTTGTTGTCTCAGGCATCAATGAGTGCACAGACCCGTCCATGCACCACTGCGACCACAACTGCACCGACACGCCCACCAGCTTCATCTGCACCTGTCGCCATGGTTTCCGCCTCATGTCCGACAACAAAACGTGCGACGATGAGGACGAGTGCTCCGTCAGGCCCAGCGTGTGCAGCCAGGTGTGCGAGAACACCATGGGCTCGTACGTGTGCAAGTGTGC